CTATAGGGGCCGGTGTTCGTTATACGGGTGATGCTGGCTATAGGAGACGGGGCAGGCTATAGGGGTTGGGAGCAGCTGTAGGGTCTGGGATAGGCTGTGGGATGGGGTGTGGGCTCTGGGATAGGCTATGGGATGAGCTATAGGGTGCAGAACCAGCTGTGGGATAGGCTATGGAGTCTGGGAGCACCTATAGGGGCTGGGCTAGCTATGGAAATGGGACTGGACTGGGGCTGGAATTGGTTATGGGATTGGCTGTGTGGTCCAGGACCAGCTATGGGACTGGGTCTGAGACTGGCACTGGATATGGGATCCAGGACCGGCTGTGGGACAGGCTATGGGATCCAGGACCAGCTGTGGGGTGGGCTATGGCATCCAGGACCAGCTATGGGATCCAGGACCGGCTAGGGGACAAGCTATGGGATCCAGGACCGGCTCTGGGATGGGCTATGGGGTCCAGGAACCGGCTATGGGATCCAGGACCGGCTCTGGGATGGGCTATGGGATCCAGGACCAGCTCTGGGATGGGCTATGGGATCCAGGACCGGCTCTGGGGTGGGCTATGGGATCCAGGACCGGCTGTGGGTTGCAGGGACCCCATTCCCCACGCAAGGCAGGGGGATACAGAGGGAGAAGCGCTGGGAAGGCGGATGCGGTGGCCGGATGGCGCCTGGGGGGATAAGGAAGCGGTGGCTGTCGGCGCGTGAGCGCGGCGTGCCGGTGCGGGCAGACGTGCCCTCGGGCATGGAAAACTGCCCTCCTGGCAGGCAGCGCTGGCACGTTCCGTGTCCCTGCTCCGGAAGGAGGCTGGGAGCGCGGGAAGGGAGCTGTGAGGCTGCGGGGGGGAATGCCGGGCAGCCCTGATTCCAGGAGAGCGGGCGATGCTCATGGGCTCCGAGCAAGCGGATTCCCAGTGGGAATTGTTCCCTGACGTCAGTGGCTCTCCCAGGTGTGAAGGTGCCGATTGCATCTCCGGCCAAGGCTCCGGTGATCCCGCTGCCACCCCCCGTCCTGCCCCCTCCGGGCATTGCTCCGCTTCCGAGCGCTTCCTCCGGGGGCTTTCGGGAAGCCCCTGGCGAGCTGTCGCTGGCCGCGCTGCTGCGCTGGTGTTTTCTCTTTGCACAAGTTGTTCCCGGCATCCCCTTCCCGGAGCGGGGGGCGGATTTTGCAACGGGGGATCGATAGCTCTCGCTATAAAGGGAGGTGAAATTCACACAGGG